GCAGGAGGCAGAGCTGTCAGCAAAGGAAGGGGCCAGCCAGGTGGGGCAGCCGGGGGATGCCGACAGCCTGCAGGGACAGAGGGGCAGGGCAGGGACACCGTGGGACAGCCTGGGCTGCACAGGGCACAGGCATGTGCAGCAGCTGCAAGACAGCCCTGCCAGAGCCAACTTGGGCAGCACTTTGGCCATGGCTGCTGGGCCTGGACCTGAGGCAGGAGCAGGAGACAAGTGACCCTTGCAGGCCTGGGGCCTCATTGCCTCCTTGTCCCTGCTCAGCAGCCTGGCAGGGGCCGCCCCATGCTCCTGCCCTTGCCATTGCACATCCCCACATGCCAGTGCCCATCCCGGCAAGAGCCCTGAGCAAGGAGGGAGGGACAGCATCTGCCTGGCCAGGGGCTGGGGCTCAGCCCTTGGCCCTTTGCATTCCTCAAACACATCCAGCTTTGCTCAGCACCAGAGACACCTCGGCCTTGTTTGTCCCCAGCTGTCATCATTGCCTCCAGTGCTCTGCTCTAACTGGAATCTGGGGACACTTTCTCAGTCATGTCCCTTAGTGGGACCCATTAAAACTTTAAGAAAATTTGGAGTCTACATTTAAATTTGAGAAGTTTTTTGAAGACACTCTCTCAGGGACTGAGTCTGAGTCTGATGTAAACAACACCAAAGCCCTGAGAGGGTCATTAAAGTTTTCCTAGTAAACTTATGGAGAAAGATTTAAAAGAACTTGTAAAAAATACGCATTCCAATTTTAAAGGATGTATTTTATTTTATTTCTCTTTACATCAGAGGTGATTGCAGCATTCTTTGATTGATATTGACCCAGGGTCTCTCCTCAGCAGCTCTGGCCTGCTCACAGAAGCTGTGCCTGGAGCTCTGACCCAGTGTGGACAACCTTGCTCCACATTGCCCAGCCCCATCCTGTCTGTCCTCACTCCCCTGGGACCTGCTGTGCTTGCAGAGCTGGCTGCCCTCAGCCTAAGAGGGGTTTTCACTTTTGGGGGCTTTTTGAAGCAATCTGAAACTCCTGAGTTTCCCCACTGCAAACAGACACACTGCTCAGGTGTGTGCCAGCCCCAGGTGCCACCAAAGCCACTGCAGAGCTGCCCTGGGCCAGCTGTGAGGGTGGATCATCAGCCCAAGCTGCACTGGGCCACTGCAAGGGGCTGTGGCCATGGGCACTGCACTGACCCCACTGCTGGGTTTGGCTGCCACGGCCACCGAGAGAAATTAAACTGTCCTTGGAAACACTGGGGAGGACTGGGACATACTGGGGAACACTGGGAATGCTGTAGGAGTCACTGGGACATACTAGGAGTGATACTGAGGAGGAGTGGGACAACCTGGGAGTACGAGGAATACTGAGGGGGAATCTGGGTGGAGGGGGATGGACTGTGGGGGTACACTGGGACATACTGGGAGTGATACTGGGGCAAACTGGGGACACTGGGGACATTGCGGGGAAGACTGGGGGCACTGGGGCATCCTCTGGATGAAATTGAGTTGAACTGGAAGGGACTGGGAATAAACTCAGGTGTATTGGGAGGGACTGGGCAGTACCAGGAGGGGCTGGAGGAGGGTGAATGGGCTGTTCCCGCCTCCACCGCATCCCATTTGCCGAGGCTCCCGCAAATCACCTACTGCAGCCAATCAGCACAAGGAACCCGGTTTTGGGGGTGGTGCCTAGATTGGCGCCTTGCCTTTTTGCCTACAACTCCCATCATGCCCCACGGCCCGATTGAACCATATTACAGCCGGAATAACAACTCCCGTCATGCCCGACGCTCCACAGAACACCGGGATCCGCCCCCATCTGTTCCATAAGTGTCCCCCACACCTTCCAGGATCCCGCAGTGCCCCCTCAGCGCCCATTTGGGACCCCCCAAAAGCGTCCCTGGACCCTTGAGTGATCCCAACCCCACAGATGCCTGGTACAGCCACTTCTGGGAATTCATCTCCTCCCATCCCCCGCGGCCCCAGAGCCCCTCAGAACACAGTCCCGTGCCTAAAACTCCTGCCGTGCCCCGCGCTCTAAGAACCTGGTTAGAGCTCCCCGAGCTCCCCCTAAGGGCTCTCGACCCATTTAAGTTCCACCGAGGACCTCAAGTCGCGGCTCGGACGCAAAAGTGTCCCCCAAGTGCCTTCCCGGACCCCCAAACATTGTGTTCGAGCCACTCTCGGGACTACAGCTCCCATCATGCTCCGCGGCGCAAGTCCAGCGTTATTCCAGCCGGGACTTCATCTCCCGTCATGCCCTTCGCCCCACCGAGAGCCATTGCAGCTGCGCCCAGAACTCCCGTGATGCTCCGCGGCCCCATTAAACCGTATGATACCCGCGCTACAGGAGTCTCTGAAGCATCAGAGCCTCCAGCCAGGCTGGTGGTCGCTGCATTTATGCACAAGAATCGGCCCGGGCACAGCAGGATCTGCTCATCTCGAGGGCTGCCCCGAGGCCCCACCTGGAGAGCTCCAAACATTTCAGTCTCACAGTTAATTTCGAAGGTGACTAATTTTTGTTCATTTTGGAGCTGGTTCATTTTGAGGGCTCTTGACTGAGCTCAGTCACTTGGTTTCAAGTTGATGGCCTGTCTCAGACCAGCCTCTGCTCTGCTCTGTGTGGACAATGAGATGGGAGAGTCCTTGGGCCACCCAGGGGTCCAGTGACTTCGGTGCTCTGGTTGTCATCAACAGAGCTTTGTTTCACTGCTTCAGACCCTCCCTCTCCTCTTCTCCCCGGCATTTTAAATAATCCTATTTTCAAAGTCACCTGCTCTGCTCTTCATGTCTAAAAGCAAACCAAAAAACCTGAAAGGGAAAATACCTTTTTCTTAGACATAGCTTTATTTTAGACTTTATTAGAAAATACAGTCTTTATTGCATATATTTTTCTCATGCATTTTGGTTTCAAAACAGAGTAACTTAATTACTTAATTAATCCAGCATTTGAGACTTGAAAAGTGAGTTTAATCTATTCCCTGCAGGCACCCAGGAGAATTTGTTGTCTCGAGGCTCCCTCTGTAACCAGTAGAGACAAGAGAACATTTGGAGGCTGGGTGCTCCCATCTGGCACACAAAGCAAAAATTACAAATCTCTCACTCTGCACTTGGGTTATTTGCTATCAATGGCAATGAAGGACTGCATGGGAACAGTTGCATTTTGGTGCAGACAGGAGACAGCTCAGATTGTGACACTCTGTGTGGATCCATAATAAATTCCAGTCCTCATTTGGAGCACTCAAAAACCAAGTTATAATTGGTCCCTATTCTGCCCTCCCCACTCCTTTCCTGACGAGCCAGAGAGGGAAAAGCTGTGGAAGAAAGCAGAGGGTTGCAAAAGAGATACTTGGGATTGCTTATTTTGGAATCAACAGATCCTCAGGGACTCCTGTCCAAAGGCAAGTACTGAAAAGTAGAAACAAGGAACTTCAATGTACAGATTGGATGTAATTTCACAGTTTAGTGTTTGCGCTGTAGATGAGAGGTGTTTGGCACATGGGTGTGACAGATTTTGCAGTAGGTCTGAGTGAGCTGGGAATTTCCCACGAAAGGGGGGAAATAGCCAAGAACTCTTTAGAATCCTCTGTTCTGGTGAAAGAACTTTTGGGGAGTGTTTGGAAAAGGTAGAAAGAACACAATAAACCCCTGGCGTCTCTACCTGAAATGGTAAACAGAACAATCAGGGTGTAAGAATTGTTTGGAGCACGATCTCTGTGCTCTATAGCAAGACTGCAGGAAAAGAAAAAAGCAGAGAAGGAAGGATAGAAATGTTTGTCCAGACTGTGAAATTTTCCCACTTGTTTTTGCCATGTTCCTGTCTCAGCAGGATGAGCTGGAATTCAGCATGGGACCAGAAAGTGAAACAGCAGTTACTGAGTTCATCCTAGAGGGTTTTCCAGAGCTGGATCCAAGGCTGCAGGTATTTTTCTCTCTGGTCCTTCTGCTCATGTACCTGACAACAGTGATGGGGAATGCAACCATCATTTTCCTCGTGTGTGTGGATCACCACCTGCAAACCCCCATGTACTTTTTCATCAGCAACATGGCCTTCCTGGAAATCTGGTTTACATCCTCCACAAGCATCAAACTGTGATGCTGAGTTCTGGTCAGAACACTCTCTCACTAAGCAGCTGCTTTGCCCAAAACTATTTCTATTTTGCTATGGGCTGCACAGAGTTCATGCTGCTCGTTGTCATGTCCTTTGACCGCTATGTTGCCATCTGCCAACCTTTGCTCTATGCTGCCATCATGAAGCCTCAGCTCTGTGTCCGCCTGGTTGTTGCTGCTTGGATCCTCAGCTTTGCCCTGCTGAGCTACCGGCTGCTCTTCCTCTCTGAGCTGTCCTTCTGTGGCTCCAAGATCCCCCATTTCTTTTGTGACAACTCCCCCTTGTTCAAACTGTCCTGCTCTGACACCAGCCTGCTCTGGAAAATAGACTCTGTCTTCTTATCCTGTGTTGTGCTGGGTTCCTTGTGTTTGACTCTGGCATTTTACATCTGCATCCTTTTCTGTGTTCTGCATCTTCCAGCAGCCTCTGGGAGGAAGAAAGCTTTGACTGCATGTTCTTCCCATCTCATCACCTTATCCATTGCCTACGGGAGCTGCATTGCTCTCTACACACGTCCTGCAGAATCTGTTTCCTTGAGCACCAACAGAATTGTAGCTCTGCTGAATACAGTCCTGTACCCATTCTTAAACCCATTCATCTACAGCCTTCGGAACAAACCTGTGATCCTGGCCCTGAGCAAATCCATTGCAAGGGCAAGAACAAAGCTTTTCCCCTAACCATGGTGCATTTCTGGAAAGCCATCCCAAGAATCTGGTGTCATCTGTTACACAATAGCAGTGCCTGTGAGTGCAGCCTCCAAACGGGGCTGCCTCAGGTTAAGAGATAAGAGACTCATCTGCACACCCAGACATGGCACCGACAATGGCAAGAGGAGAAACTCAGTTCATTCTCAGCCCTGGCTGCTCCCAGGACCATTTACTGGAGAGCCACCAGCTCATTAAGGGCCAATCTGCGTAACAGAGAAGAGTTCAGAAGAACAGCGGCAAGTGACAATCCAAATTACAGCTCCTGGGCGAAGGACACCTTGTCCAGCTCCTTCCCTGGGACAGCCAGCAGCCCCAGTGTCTAGGTTTGGAATCGCAAAGTCACTGAGAGCAGGTGGGGAAGACTGGGGGGAATTGGAAAGGGACCGGGAACGAACTCAGGTGTATTGGGAGGGACTGGTCTGTACTGGGAGGGACAGGAGAGGGTGCATTGGCTGCTCCCGCCTCCACCGCCTCCCATTTGCCGAGGCTCCCGCCCATCACAGCCTGCAGCCATTCAGCGCCAGAGGCCGGGGCCTCGAGAGGGGTGCCTAGGGTAGGCGCCGTATTTTCTGGTTTTGCCTACAACGCCCATCATGCCCCGCGGGCCGATTGAGCCCAATTGCAGCCAAAACAACAACGCCCGTCATGCCCCGCGCTCCACAGAACCTCCAGGATCCCACAGTGCCCCCTCAGCGCCCATTCGGGACTCCCATAAGCACCCCCGAACCCCTGAGTGCTCCCACCCCCACAGATGCTCGGTACAGCCACTTCTGGGAATTCATCTCCTCTCGTCCCCCGTGGCCCCAGAGCCCCTCAGAACACAGTCCCACGCCTAAAACTCCGGCCGCGACCCGGGCCCTAAAGAGCCTGGTTGGAGCTCTCCGAGCTCCTCCCAAGGTCTCCCGTGCCGTTTACGTTCCCCCAGAGGATCTCAAGTCGGGGCACGGACGCAAAGGTGTTCCCCAAGAGCCGTCCCGGACTCCCAAACATTTCGTTCCAACCACTTCGTGGACTACAGCTCCCATCATGCTCCGCGGTGAATGTCTAGCGCTATTGCAGCCGGGACTTCATCTCCTCTCATGCCCCGCGCCACACCAAGAGCCATTGCAGCTGCGCCCAGAACTCCCGTGATGCTCTGTGGCTCCGTTAAACCGAATGATACCCGCGCTTACAACTCCCATCACCCCCCGCGCCCCAGAGAGCCCCGTTCGAGCCCCCCAAGGGCCCGCCCGGACCCCGAAGGGCCCCAAATTCCCCTCCCTGACCTCCAAGGGCCCCCCTGGACCCCCAAGTGCTGCCCCGGACCCTGAACTGTCCCTCAGAATCCCTGAGTGCCCCTCCAAGTGCCCACCCGGCTTCCCCAAGTGTCCTCCCGACCCTCAAGTTCTCTCTGAATTCCCTCCCCAGACCCAAAACTGCCCCAAATGTGCCCCAGAAATGTCTCCGGGAACCTCGAAGTGCACGGCCCCCCCAACCCTGTCTGAGAAAAAGATGATAAAAAAGATGACAAAAAGACTACAAATATACCTAATTAACGTAAAGAGAAAGAAATAAATAGCCAATAGAAATTAATTAATTAATTCATGAAGGGAAATGTGTTACTTAGAACCAATGATGAATAATTTTCTTGGTTGCTAGAAATGTATCCAGTTTTAATATAAATATAGAAATTAGGTAATAAAAATATTGTATATGACTGTCCTTAACTAAAATAATATAATTATAATTTTGTCATTAATAAATTTTATTTATAAGGAAAAATGCTAAAATTTTTCTTTTTTTTTGGGGTGTCAGTCCCAGGTGGGTGTTGTCAGACATGGTGAGGCTGGGGTAGAGGAGCCGATTGTCCAAACAGGCTCAGCCTGCAAGGGGCTCATTCTTATCCATGCCCAGACCTCCTAAGGAGACATTCAGCATCCAGATCACTTGGGGAATGCCTCTATCCCCTCTTCTCATAACTAAAAAATAAAAAAATACTGATGTTATTAAAAAAACAAAAATCATGAGGTGCATTTTGACACCTTCCTCCTGAAGACAACTCCAAACTGACTCCAATCACTGCACAAGCCCTGGAGACCCAAACACAATGGAAGGGAGACAAAGAGCTCCTGAGCGCTCTCTGTATTTTAATCAGCCCCACGCTGGATTTGGGGCTGGGTCCAGGAGCCTCAGACACGCAGAGAAGGATGAAGAAGCTGCTCAAGGAGTCTGCAGCAAAACTCCAAGTGCCTTGGAGCATGGCTGCGCCCCAGGGAGCGAAGGGAGTGCCCAAGGCTGCCCAGGGCCTGGTGAGAGCAGATCCTTGAGGGCAGCATTGCAGGGAGCCCAAGGCTGTGAGCAGGGAACTGCAATGCTGAGCAAGGCCTGGCTTGGCTGCAGGAAGCAGAAAGGCCAAGCCCTGAGCCCAGCCTGGGCCAGCAGGGCCTGTCCCTCACGGCTGCCTTGGGGCTCTTGGTGGGCCAGGGGGATGTGAGGGGCAGCAAGGACAAATGGCATCAACCTGCAGCCCCTGCCAGCCTCCCCAGGGAGGCCGAGGGGGAAGCAAAGTGCAGCCCCTGCCAGGAAAGTTCCTCCTGTGGGGCCTCCAGAGGCGCTGCCCGAGCCCAGGGCAGAAAGGCCTGGGTGCCTGTGGCCCTGCCAGCCCTGCCCAGCCCTTGGCCATCTGTCCTGCAGGCTGTGCCCCCTGGTTGTGCTGCTCCTCTGCCCTGGCCGGCTGCACTCGCCCATCTCGCTGTGCCCCAGCCTTTCTCACCCAGTGTTGCTGTGCCCTCTCTGGGCTCCCTGCACCCAGCGCTGCCGGCTCCTGGCACACAGAGCCCGGCCATGGCCCAGCCTCACGCTGCCACACCTCCAGCACCAACATTCTGCCCTGCGAGGGACTTTGCTTTCTTCTCAGTACCAGGCTGAACCTTCCAAGGTGCACTTTGGGGAGGTTTCCTTCAATTCCCACTGTCAATGAAAGCTCTGTCTCCTGCTGGTCACAAACAGAGAAGGGCTGGTGGCAGATCAGAGGTGGTCAGAGGCTGTTTGGGGCACAGTGACCATTGTAGCCATGATATTTTCTGAAAAATCCCTTTGCTTGGATTTAGCTCCTGAGAAGCTGAGGCCTCAGGTACAAAATATAAACAATAATTATCTGCTGCTGTGGAATGCAACAGGTGGATCTGTGATTGGCTTCATATCATTGTTTCTAATTAATGGCCAATCACAGTCCAGCTGTGTCTCTCTGGTCAGACACAGGATTTTGTTATCATTCCATTCTTTCTCCTTTGCTTGCAAGCCTTCTGATGAAATCCTTTCTTCTATTCTTTTTGTATAGTTTTAATATAATATCTATCATAAAATAATAAATTAGTCTACTGAAACATGGAGTCAGATCCTTTCCTCTTCCCTCTTCTGGGACCTCTGTGAACACCACTACTGACCATGAAATTATTAAGTTTTTTAATATTCTCTGAAAGAACGAGGGGCATCAACTAAACATCTACAACTGGCTGGATGGCCAGTTGAGTGGCGGTGAATGTTACACCAGAGAGTGGTGGTGAATGCTGCTGCATCCAGCTGGCAGCCAGTCACCTGTGGTGTCCCTCAGGGGTCTCTGCTGGAGACAGTTCTGTTCAATATTGTTACTGACAACATGGATGAGAGTGTTGAGACTTTCAGTAGTAAATGTGCACACAAAACTAATCTGGGAGCGTGTGTCCATCTGCTGGAAGGTAGGAGGCCTCTGCAGAGAGACCGGGAACAGTTGGATGGATGGGCAGAGTCCAATAAGATGAAATTTACTAAGTCCAAGTGCTGGGTCCTGCACTTTGGCCCCTTTGGCACCTGCAGTGCTACAGGCTGGGGACAGAGTGGCTGGACAGCGGCCAGGCACAAAGGGCCCTGGGGCACTGATGGACAGCAGGCTGGACATGAGCCAGCAGTGTGCCCAGGCTGGCAAGAAGGCCAATGGCTGCTGGCCTGGATCAGGAATGGTGTGGCCAGCAGGAGCAGGGCAGTGATTCTTCCCCTGCACTCGGCAATGGTGAGGCCACACCGCAAGTGCAGTGTCCAGTTCTGGGCCCCCAATTTAGGAAGGCCATGGAGGGGCTGGAGCGTGTCCAGAGAAATTCAACGAGGCAGGGGAGGGGTCTGGAAGAGGAATCTGGTTTCAAGGAACCGAGGGAGCTGGTATTCTATGATCTGGAGGAGGCTCATGGTAGACAAGGTGGTTTTAGGATGCAGGTTGGATTTGCTGATCTCAATAGTTTGTCACAACAAACCTGAGTGTTTCCCTGCCATCCCCCAGCCATTGCTGGTCCCAGGGGCTGATGGCACTTGTGCTCCCTCATGTTCATGTCCCCACACCAACAGCATGGGGGTGCTCCCCCTGCTCTGTGCCATGCAAACAGGGGCTGCTGAGCCATTGCTGCCGTGTCTGTGCCTGCAAGGATGGGGCACCCGTGTAAGCTGGGGGAGAGGCCAGGGCTGCAGAGGGGGGATGTTGTTGGCAGCTCCATGAGGATGCTCTGGGACGCTGCCCTGGGCTGTGCAGCGCACTGGGGATGGATCAGCCCCTGCTCTGCTGCTCCTTCCCGTCTGCCCCAGGGCCCTTGCAGAGCCCCAGCCATGCTGTTTGCCCCCAGCCTGCCCACGGCCAGCCTGGGGCTGCTCACGGGGCTTTTCTGTGCTGAGCATTGGCCTGGGCGTGTTCTTGAGAGAGTCTGGGCAAGGAGCCTGGAGCCCCCAGGCCCTGGGCTGAGGCGTCAGCACTGCCCCAGCAGTGCCCATGGCCTGTCCCTGCTGCAGCCCCGGCACTGCCACCCCCAGGGCTGTGCCCGGCCCCGAGAGCACTCAGGCCCTGCAGCAACACCAGGGCCACCAGGGCAGCGGGGCAGGGCCACGGCAGCAGCTCTGGCAACACTAAGTGCTGCTGCTGCTGGGCACAGCTGCCATGCCAGCCCTGATCTGCCCCAGCTCAACACACAGACATTGCTGCTGCAGCTCCAGAGAAGGGAACAGAAGGTGGAACACTGGTGAAAAGTCTGCTCGGAGAGCCTTTATTCTGTCTGAAGCCACTGAGAGTGCAGCTCTTCATTGACACAGTCTGACGCCACCGTGAAGGTTGAGAGAAACAAAATGAGAAATGGTACAAACACTGACCTTCCTTTGTTGTAAATAATAAAACGCTAAACCGAAAGACAAGAACATATAACAAACAAACCCAAGTGGTATCAAAGATGACTTTTATTACATAAGATTTGCAGAAACTGGTCAGAAGCTAATCTTTCTGTAACGGTCTATTCATCAGTTTCCATACCGCAGCCTTGAGCTCCTGGTTCCTCAGGCTGTAGATGAGGGGGTTCATGGCTGGAGGCACCACCGAGTACAGAACTGACAGGGCCAGATCCAGGGATGGGGAGGAGATGGAGGGGGGCTTCAGGTAGGAAAATGTGCCAGTGCTGACAAACAGGGAGACCACGGCCAGGTGAGGGAGGCAGGTGGAAAAGGCTTTGTGCCGTCCCTGCTCAGAGGGGATCCTCAGCACAGCCCTGAAGATCTGCACATACGAGAAAACCATGAACACAAAACAACCAAAACCTAAACAGACACCAAGCAATGAAATCCAAATTTTTCTGAAGGTGGAGTATGAGCAGGAGAGCTTGAGGATCTGGGGAACCTCACAGAAGAACTGGCCCAGCGCATTGCCATGGCACAGGGGCAGGGAAAATGTATTGGCTGTTTGCAGTAGAGCATTGAGAAAGGCACTGGCCCAGGCAGCTGCTGCCATGTGGGCACAAGCTCTGCTGCCCAGGAGGGTCCCGTAGTGCAGGGGTTTGCAGATGGACACGTAGCGGTCATAGCACATGACGGTCAGGAGGGAAAACTCTGCTGAAATGAAGAACAGAAAGAAAAAGAGCTGTGCAGCACATCCTGAGTAGGAGATGGTGCTGGTGTCCCAGAGGGAATTGTGCATGGCTTTGAGGACAGTGGTGCAGATGGAGCCCAGATCACTGAGGGCTAGGTTGAGCAGGAAGAAGAACATGGGCGTGTGCAGGTGGTGGCTGCAGGCTATGGCGCTGATGATGAGGCCGTTGCCCAGGAGGGCAGCCAGGGAGATGCCCAGCAAGAGGCAGAAGTGCAGGAGCTGCAGCTGCCACGTGTCTGCCAATGCCAGCAGGAGGAAGTGCCTGATGGAGCTGCTGTTGGACATTTCCTGTGTCTGCACATTTCAACGTACAGAAGGAGGAAAGACAGGGCAATGGAGGGGAAATTTCTCACAGAAAAATCAAAACTCTTTGTCGTAGCCTCTTTCTTTCCACTAATCACCTCCCCCTTGTGTATGTCTAGGAGATCTTCCTTCACCATTGTTGATGGAGCTCTGATTGCTGCTGGTCAATGCTGTGTGAGGAGCTGGACCTTGGCCTGCAGGACACCCCCAGTCAGTGCAGGGGAACAGTGAGAGCAGGGCCCAGTCCTGGTGGTCAGGCTTGGATAAAGAATCTTCCGGTAAGGCTGCAGAACTTCCTGGGTGAAAGGATGGGGATAACAGAAGGCAGAACGAGAGATTCTGCTGCACCTGGGGAGAACAGAGAGTCCAGAGAGGCAGGAGGGTTGGCTTAGTGCAGACTGAGGGGAGCTGCTCTGTCCCTCTCTCCTGTTCCAGCTGCCCTGCACTTGCACCTTTCTGAAATCCACTCCCGTGTTACCCTGGACAGCCAGGAGACACTGCTGAAAGCAGAGGGATCCCTGGCACACAAAGTGGCTCCTGCCTTTCCCAGAGTCAGGAGAGTGGCCTCATTGCCAGCCTCCCAGGCTGCCCTGCCCAGAGCTGCCCGGGCACAGGGAGCTGGGACACCCCATTGCGGTGCTCAGCCTGCACAGGAGGAGCCCAAGGGCTGGGCCTGGCCCTGCAGCTGGAACTGCCATTGCAGAGAGCGCCTCAGCAATGGCAACAGCACCTGGGCAAGGCAAGGAGAGAGAGAGAGCTGGGCCTGAGGAAAAGCCTTTCCCTGGCCAGCCCTGGCCAGCCCCTGCCAGGCAGCAGCAGGGCAGGACAGTGGCCCTCAGGCCCTGGTCAGCAGGGAATGGGCACATGGCCGCAGAGATGCCCTTCATCTCTGGGGCTGCTCTGCCGGCCCAGGAGGGACTGAGGGCCCTGAGCCACCGGGCTGAGGGCTGTGCTGGCTGCGAGGGGACACAAGAGCTGGGCTGCTCAGGGCAGTGTCTGCCCTGCAGGGCAGGCCCGGCAGGTGTCACATCTGCCCTGCAGCAGGGCTTCCCTCAGCACTGCCTCCCTCCCTCCCTGCCCACGGCTCTGCTGCTGGAGCTGTCCCAGCCCCAGCTGCTCGTGTGGCCCCGGGCTCCTTCCCTGCCAGAGCCCAGCCCAGCCCCTGGGCCAGCCCTGCCCTGCAGCTACTGGGCCCTGCAGGGATTAAAGAACAGCTCCCCCAGCCTGGGCACCAGGGAAAGGTGATGCTGCATGGATCTGGAGGCTGGACAGGTGCAGGCAATTGCTGAGGTGCCCAGGAATGCTCAGTGTGATGGTTTAAGTGTCTCAGCCACTGATCTACCCTGCATAGTTAATTTTCTATTGCCACCAAGCTGAGCCAGGGAAAAGTGGGAGCACAGATTCGGGAAAGCAGAGACCCAAGCAGGAAACTCCTGCCCTGAATGAGCTCATGAAAAGTCACCCTGGGCATGAGCTGGAGCTCTGTACAGCCCTGGCTGCAGCCCCAGCTTCACCCCCTGCAGCCGTCCCTGGCAGCAGGAGCCGTCCTGCTCTGTCCCCTCTGACGGTGCCCAGGGCAGCCCCACTCTGCAGCACATCCTCCTGCAAAGCAGAAACAGCAGCAGAGCCATCCTTACAGTCACATCAGTCCTGTCCTGGGTCAACTTCAGGAGATCCCTCCAGGAGCACAGGGGACGTTGCCCTGCACCCACACACTCACCATGCACAGGGCTGTGAAGATCTTTCCCCAAGTGAAGTCTCAGCTCAATGTCTTCCCAATCCTGATTGCCTTCAGCCTGTCTCTGCCTGGCTCCTGTCACCTCAGTGTGGCAGAGCCCTCAGCCCTGCTGGGCTGGGAGAGGAGGTGGCCCTGGGAAGAGCTGTTCCTTTAAAGCTCAGCAGCACAGACACAGCACAAGAACTTTAATGAGCCTCTTGGGGATTTGGTGTTGTTTACATCAGCCCAGTCCCTGAGAGAGTGCTCAAAAAACTTCTCAAAAACTCAAATTTAAAATGAAACTCTGAAGTTTCTTGAAGTTTTAATGAGTCCCACAGATGGACACGACTGAGAAAGTGTCCCCAGGTTCCAGTTAGAGCAGAACACTGGAGGCAGTGTTGACAGCTGGGGACAAACAAGGCCAAGGTGTCTCTGGTGCTGAGCAAAGCTGGATGTGTTTGAGGAATGCCAAGGGCCAAGGGCTGAGCCCCAGCCCCTGGCCAGGCAGATGCTGTCCCTCCCTCCTTGCTCAGGGCTCTTGCCGGGATGGGCACTGGCATGTGGGGATGTGCAATGGCAAGGGCAGGAGCATGGGGCGGCCCCTGCCAGGCTGCTGAGCAGGGACAAGGAGGCAATGAGGCCCCAGGCCTGCAAGGGTCACTTGTCTCCTGCTCCTGCCTCAGGTCCAGGCCCAGCAGCCATGGCCAAAGTGCTGCCCAAGTTGGCTCTGGCAGGGCTGTCTTGCAGCTGCTGCACATGCCTGTGCCCTGTGCAGCCCAGGCTGTGCTACGGTGTCCCTGCCCTGCGCCTCTGTCCCTGCAGGCTGTCGGCATCCCCCGGCTGCCCCACCTGGCTGGCCCCTTCCTTTGCTGACAGCTCTGCCTCCTGCCTGCCTCTGCCTGCCCACACAAAGCCTGGGGCTGATACCAAAAGGCTTCATTCCACTTTTAACCTGCCTGTGAACTTTTAGCACAGGAACAAGGCTTGCAGGGGCTGATTTCCCATCAAGGATGGTTGGAAGAAAAGAAGAAGACATTTGGCTCAGGGGTGCAGGGATAGAGAAAACAAGGAGTGAATCTGGGAACTTGAGGTGGGTTTTATGGAAATGGGTAAATTGCAATTCACATTTATCAACGGTATATGAGCAACACTCTGGTAGAATTACACATTCATGTGAGGTTAGTAGTTTTCCCATGTTGGACCTCTGGCCTGAGTAAATGATACCCTCTGAAATTGCAAATGAGTGTTAAGGAAACTTATTCTGATATTTCAGAGATTTGGTGAGAGTCTGGCCTCAGAGAACCAAGGAGTCAGCTGTGACACAGTGCAAACTCATGGCACAAAGTGTCCATGGTGACACAGCAGAACCCCATGGAACCAAAATCCATTTGTGCGCATTGGGGCCACATTGAACCAATGGTCCATTGTGATACTGAGGATCCAAGGAGACCATTGTGACCCTGAGAAACCTCTTGGAACCAAGGGGCCATTGTGACACAGCAAGGCCTGGTGGAACCATGGGTCCATTGTGACACTGCAGAACCTCACGGAACCAAGGCAAGCATGTTCTACTGTGGGACCTCATGGAACAAAGGGTCCATGGTGACACTGCAGCACCAAGGAGACTGCTGCTGGCAGTGTGAGAGCTCATGGAAGCACAAGTCCATTGTGACACAGGACGGCCTGATGGAATCAAGGGTCCCTTGTTAAACTGTGTGGCCTCATGGAACCATGACCCATTGTGACACAGCATGGCCACATGGAACCAAGGGGCCACTGTGACACTGCGGATCCAAGGAGACCATTGGGACTGAGGAACCTCATGGAACCAAGAGTCCATTGTTCCACTGTGGGGCCATGGGGAACCAAGGGGAGCACAGTGACATTGTGGGGCCTCATGGAACAATGGAGACTGTTCTGACACTTTGGGACCCAGTGGAACCAAGGGGCCATTAGAGCATGGCAGGGCCTGGTGGAATCGAGGGGATAACAGTGAACACTGTGGGTGTCCTTGGGATGAAGGGTCCATTTTGACACCGTGGAACCAAGGATACCATTGTGACACTCTGGGGCATTATGGAACCTAAGGTCCATTGTGACACAGCAGGGCCTCATGGAACCATGGAGGCCATTTTTACACTTGGACGCCTTGTTGAAACAAAGGGCTATTGTGGCACTTGAGGACATTGTGGAGCCAAGGGGACCATAGTGACGCAGTGGGGCTGCATGAAACCAATGGTCTGTGGTGACACTGCAAGGCCTTCTGGGATCATGGAGACCATTGTGACACTACAGACCTCATTGTACCAAGGAACCATTGTGACACTCTGGAGTCTTGGCAGGCCAAGGGGCAGTTGTCACACTGTGTGGCATCATGGAACCAAGGAGGCCATTGTGACACTTTAGGGCCCCATGGAACTAAGGATCCATGAACATTGCAGGACCCCATGGAACCAACGGTCCATGGGGACATTGTGGGGCCTCATGGAATCCTCGAGGCCATGATGACACTTGGAGGCCTCGTTGAATCAAGGGGCTCTGCAGGGCCTCATGGAACCAAGCAGACCCTTCTGACATTGTAAGTCCCCATGGAACCAAGGGTCCATTGTGACACTGCAGCACCAAGGAGACCCCTGTGACACTGCCAGGCCTCATGGAAGCAAGTGACCATTGTGACACTGGAGCCCCATGGAAAGAAGAGGCCAGTGTGACACATCTGGGCCTCATGGAAGCAAGGATCAAATATGACACCACCACTGTGACACTGCAGGGTCCCATGAATCCAAGGGAACAGGGAACAGGTCTGGTTGGCTTGGCCTGACTTGTCCAACTGCCCTTGGCATGTCAAGGGTCTCTTCTCATTTACCCCTGAAACCCTGGGGCT